TTTTGTAATTTACAACTATATTCATATGATTTATGACTATATTATCATTATTTACAATTATATTCCTATAATTTACAGCTATATTTTTGTAATTTACAACTATATTCATATAATTTATGACTATATTATCATTATTTACAATTATATTCCTATAATTTACAGCTATATTTTTGTAATTTACAACTATATTCATATGATTTATGACTATATTATCATTATTTACAATTATATTCCTATAATTTACAGCTATATTTTGTAATTTACAACTATATTTTCCTAACATACAATTATATTCTCATAATTTACAACTATATTCTTAGGATTTACAACGATATTCTCCTAATATACAATTGTAGTCTCATAATCTACAACTATGCTTGTCATTTACAACTGTATTCTCTCTATAATTATAATACATTTGAACTAGCTTCTTGTGATTTACACATATATTCACAGTAAATTTGAACCCAATTCTTGTCATTTACAGCTAAGTAATGTGGAGGTTACTGTATGTTCTACATTATACATCATACCAATGACATGTAATCTATGTTTTGTCTCAGTCTTGGCATAAACCATTTATTGTCCTCCCGACTCTGAAGCTTTCTCCAGAATCCCTTTATCTAAAACTAATCAGAAACTAAACCAGCGTGCAGCTCATTGAACTTTTCAACCCTCCTATGCTTCACGACTTCAGATCCTCATCCACTCAGCTGGAGCCACAGGTCTACGGCATTTCTCTTTACTTCTCAGCTTGGCCACAATGTATTTGCATCTCGTCAGGCCTTTTCTCATCTGTGACAGAAGTGGCAGGGGAGAATTTAGCTCATATTTTATTAAACCAATCTGCTGCTTTGGCAGTTGGCTGAGAAACTTGGCAGTCCGTCTACAAATGGGTAGCTTTTAATTTATTATTTACTACTATTTTCAGTGGACACACACACACACACACAGACACACACACACACAAACGTTTCTGGTGAATCAGATAGCATCAGATCTGGTCGGCGCTGCTGGATGACATGGCTGATACGTTTCCCCCTGACTCCTTTAAATCTACTGGTATGAACTATTCTCACAGAGATTTCCTTTAACGCTTTGTTAAGAAAGAACCTTGTTTAAAAGTGGGCCACATAAGATGGATGGCACAGAATGGCATACAATGACGCTGAATTTTCACACCATTTTTCAGTGTGCAACAACTTTTGTGCCTGTCAAAATTGGGAACTAGTTCGATTAAAGACGTAAACATGCTAGCTTTTATAAAGAATTATGATTAAAGGACTAACAGTTGGGGCCGTTTACATTATACTAACACCTAGTTGTGGGCCACATGTGGGTGGTTTGAGGGGCACATTTGGCCCACTGGCCAGAAGTTTGAGACAGCTGGCCCAAATCCAAACTCTTATCAAAAGTTATAACAAATACATCAGGTAAACGTTAGCTAAGCAGCAAACGTTTAAAAATAAATAAATAAATAAATAGAATACCAAAATGGTTCAAACCAACCGTATTAGTGTAAAAACAGCTTAAATGTTAGCTGGGGAGCAGCTAAAGAAGTAGCCAAAAAAATAAAATTTAAGTCGGAATAAAACAGCAGTGGCTTCAAAGAAAAAAAAAATAGATAAAAATAAAAACTTGCCATAATGTGGCTTTAGTTTATTTTTTCTATAAATCAGAGCGAGGACATTCTAAATTGTGAAGATAGGCTACCGTTTCTAAATTAAAGGCTAATTTGTTAGCATCTTTATTAAACCAATATGAACATATATTTTATGAATTTTGAACTATATGAATGTGCAGTCAGTCAGTAAACACTCGTGAGCGTCTCCATCACCTCTGACCCTGACTGTCCACCTCTTTCTGTTGTGGTAAAGTGAGACCTAATGTTCCTGCAGCAGGCTCGGCTCAGAGACCTGTTCTGTTTGTGTCTTTCTGCTTCTGTAGTTATTTTCACATGCCCATTATCCATGCTTGTCGATGCCTCGAGACATAGTTATTTCTTTCTCCTCCGCAGACTGATGTCGCGCTGAGTCGCATGGACACAGTTTGCCCCTTAATGCGTCTTTAAAGAGACCTCCTTCTCTACAAGCCTCTGTGTTTCTGTTGAGCTCTTTAATGTCCAGCCAGGATCAGAGTCCATTTAGCCCATGTGTCATGTGACACGCTAAAGCTCTACTCCCGTTTGTGCGTGCTAGCGTTCCTGCTCGAATTGTACTGCAGTACTGCTGACAGAATCGTTACCTGGCTTACTTCACAATCCTCACACACACACACACACACACGCTGAGTCAAACCCACTTCCTTTCTCTTTAAAGATAGGAAAACCTTTCTCTCTGGCTCCTTTGTTCCCCACTTCAGGCTGGGCTCACATCTTCTCTGTTCTCTGTAAACCCACTCTGCTCTGTCATCAGGATTACTGGCTGTGCTGTAGCAGATTAATGAGTGACAACTCTACACTCCTCTCACAGAGAGAGAGAGAGAGAGAGAGAGAGAGAGAAACAACTGCAGGGAGATGCAGATGCAGTGCATTATGTTGTTGGAAGAACAATATGTTAGCTCTGATTTTGTGTTTGTATCCGTGCAGTTGGTAGAGTACGTGTCACTCAGTTTATGTGAGAGTGTGTTGCTCGTTTGTGCAAAAAGCAGCAGGGGGCGTTTCGACTTCTACACCTGGATGATGCACTACAGGAGCTAAAAGTTAAAACAACCATGAACGTCAGAGGAGAACTCTGATGTATTTCAATATGTAGTTGTAAAAGGACTGCGTTTCTTCACACTAAAACATGCTGAGTCATGATCCTCAGGTTTGATGGTTATATCTTTGTCAAATGTTAAAATGACAAAACAAACAAACAAACAAAAAACAAACATGTTGACATTTTGTGATGTTATCAACAGATTTGGACGTAGAGTCATTCATCCTTCGTTTCCAAAACTGTGACATTATTTTCAATCCATACAAATCTACAGACAAGGCAATGCGTAGATTGTTTCCTGGTGTAAAAGACACCACACCTGACAACTATTTTTAAGCATTTTGTTGATGGAAATACCACTTTAGCCCAGAAATACCACAGAAGTTAAGCCATATATAGAAAATCAGTGAAGCAATAATTCAATTCTTCATCAAATAAATTTGTCTTAGGACTTTTTGACTTACCAGTTTCTGCACTCATGTCATGTCCAACAGGAAAAGGCGATATACTTTCCATTTGCTTTCATTTGAAGGACAGCAGAAGAACTGGCAGCACACATGTAAACAAGAAGGCGAGAAAAAAAAACGTAGTGTGAACCCTTTCAACTCAAGTTTGAAATAAATGAGGCCATGGTCCCTCATGTCACTCCAGAGCCTCAAAGAGGCTCTGGCCTAAGTGTGTCATGAATTACTAAGAAGTAATATTTGGATGTACTCACTGCCATCAAACAGCTGAGGCTCAATTTCCTGAGACTGGTAGTGGAGTGTCCAGGAAAGTGGGCTGTGGTAGCTGCCATCTGAGGTCACACAGACGCCTGTTACCTGCATTCAGTCGGGACAGCGTTTTGATTTGTAGAAACTGACAATCAATAAAGGAAAGGAAAGTGAACTCCTTGTCATTGTTCTCCACTGCACACCCCCAAATGTGACCTCTGTTTTTAACCCATCACCACAGTGAACAGTGGAGTGAACGCTCAGAGCACCTCAGTGGTAACTTGGCAGCTGGTGGACTCAAACCTGAAACCTTTCGGACCCAAGTCCAGAATTGACGTAACGGTACCTTACTGGTGTAGCCAACAGCTGGGTGATATTTCCTGTTTTCATATTAGAAAGAAACGATGGCTGTCAAAATGAACACGTTAAGCGAAATTAATCAGACTTAAAATGTTAACTCATCACAACGTATACACAGTATGTTCTGCTCTTTACATACCGTCCATCCAGTGATTAGCATCACTTTAATACACAGTACATAAATACACGTGTCGTCCTTTAAACCCACTGTTTATGTATGTATTTGTGGAGATGCAGTGTAACGACTAAACTCCACCAAGCTAAATTAAGATGAACTCAGAAATATGGTTAATTTTCTTGACATTTTTTCATATGAATAATTCTGTCATTCAGATTAGCCACAAATAAAAACAGGTGTGAAACTCATACATTTACCTGCCTATATTTAGGAATGTAGATTTGTCCGGATTAATCATGATCACCATTTCTTACAAGTAAAAATTAATCAACCAATTGCAATTAATTGAAAATATTATACATATCGATTAATCCCGGCTAATTTACAGCTATCCTGTGATTAATCAGATTAAAAATGTGGTTTGACAGAACCTTAGAAAGATTTAGAATTATATTTTATTTATGTGACCACAAACATTGGCACAGAACACACTGGATCCAGAATAAGAACAGACACCGTTCAGATGTGGTAAAATACTTTTATAGAGCAGTAATCCATATCTTAAATAAAGCATCCAAGCAGAATAGCTCTGGTATATACAGCACTCAGTTCACCCATTTTTCCCATTGAATATACTGTATGTGTTGTATGTATAAATGTATCTGTGTGTGTGTGCGTGAGCCTGTGTGTGATTGTTGACATGTGTTACAGATCTTTGTCTGGTGTAGCATATTAAAAGTTTTAAATACAGTTCATAATAATTCTTTTTAAATGTCTCTGGATATAAAAGCTGGTGTTCTGACTGATGATGAAGTCCAATGATGGCGACAGAGCCGTCCTCAGTCATTTTCCCTCTCCGTCTATATTTTCTCTTCATTTTATTTTTTTCCATATAAATATACTCTTTTCTCTACCACCACTGGATCGTCTGTTCTAGTATGCACCTTGCCCGTAACTCCTCCAATATATTCTCTTCATATCTCCTAATTGCTTCTTAATCGTGATTCATATCGTGGACTGAACTCCTGCCTTTCTTTGACTGCAGCACTTTTGCGAGTCTGCACCGGCATCAAACCTGCTGCATGTGCTGAAGAGGCATATTATGAGCAGCTAAAACATTTGCACTCCAGTTAAACCTTTTTCATCAACTCCACCAGCAGCAGCTAACACTCCGACACAGTCCCTGTTATTTCCGTCCCCTCCCACAGTTTTCTTTTTTTTTTTCTCTTTTTTTTTTTGTTGCTAGAATTCGATTTCTTCAGTTCATTCCATGCTTGGTTTTCTATAAAACCACCATAGGTAGGATATTTTGTTGTTGTTGTTTTTTATGTGAAGGGTATGCAGTGCGTTACAGTACTCAGATTTATTCAGCCTCATCCTCCAGGAATCAGAGGAACCAGAAGCACTTCTTCCTGTTCTTCTTGTTGGTGGCAGGCGGCCGCACTGACTCCGGGGAATCCTGTTCAACGGGTGTGGTGGACTGGGGAGTGGAGGGCTGCGGTGAGCCCTCGGGGGGGTCGCCCACCTTCCATGTGCGTACGACCTGGCCTTCCTGCAGCCGAAAGTCATGTTCTACACTGGTAGAGAGGAAGAGATGGAGGAACAGTGTTAAGTGTGTAACAAACTGCAAAGATTTTTTTTTTAAATAAACACAGTAAAAAGTTGCAAAATTCTGAAACAATTAACAACTTACTTCAAAAAAACAACAACAGATGTTTATGTGAGAAAATCTGGCGAAAAAAGCTGATTTGCCAATATATAAACAAACTACACTGAAGTTCCAGGAAAAGAACTGTTACTGTTCAAGAAATCAGGAGTGGCTGAAATGTATGTGAGTGTGGTGCAATCTAAGGAGTAAAACGGGGAGTAACATTAGAAATACAGTATGTTCCTATTTCCATATATTAATGGAAAAATTGAAAAGGAGATCAGATGAGTCTCTGTGGAAAATAATGTTTGCAGATGACAGTGTGGTATATGGTCAGACAAAACAAATAATGGTCAGTTGAGACAGAACCAGACAGAAGGAATGAGCACGATGGGAAAGAAGGTTCTTTGTGGAATGCTAACAGAGCAGTAGTGAGACCGGCTTTAATGTTGGCCTTTGATACAGTGACAATGCTGGATGTGACACACTTGAAGACGCTGAGATTTTATAATGGGGTGATCAGAATCACCGACAGTCAAACCGAGCGTACAGAGGTGACAGCTACGGTTTAACAACTCTGGAGATAAGGCGAGAAGAGATAGTGGAGGCAAAGAGGAAGACCCCAGAGGGGACTACAGATGTTGTGAAAGACGAAATGAGAAACAGCGGACAAGACAAGAGATATAGTGAGATGTCGCCTGTGGAAACCTTAAAGTAAACAACCACGAAGAGAATGGGCAACTTTTGATGCAGACTGAATCTCAAAAAGTTCACATAACACATTTGTCTCAATGGAACATGAATCATCCTCTTGAAGAAAACATTTAACAGGAGAAAACTGCAGGAACGTCTATACAGCCAATGATTATACTAATATACTAAGTTTACATCAACAATATGGGGTAAAACAGGATAGTATAGAAGTTGAACGTATCTCTTATACTTTTGTATGTTTCTGGACATTTTCCATATTAAAAATACATCATTTGGATTAGTGACAAAAAGGGTGTAACACACACATTTAGCTAATATGTTGTGTCTTTATACCCAAGCAGTACACGTACAGATTTTATATTTTGCTTTATGTTTTGGTTTTTGTTTTTATTATTTTCAGGAATGTTGATTTATCTCGATTAGTCAAGCTTAACTGCATGACAGTTAGTCATTGGTGGTTAATGAGTCACAATGAATGAATCCCACAGTTAGTCATGGTTAATGAGTCACAATGAATGAATCCAAAGCTAACCTGTTGAAACCCTTATCTCACTACAGCCTGTAGCATCAGACGTACAGTTTTAAGAGTGACGATGGAGATGGAGATGACCAAGGGCGTATGTGGTTTAAAGACAGGATGATTAATATTAGAGTCAGTTTCATATTGATCGGGTATAAAGTGGTTTAATAAGTGAGAGGTGGAGAGACTTTTGGCAGCTCTTCAAGTGAAGCAGGCAGGTGGACAGTGAAAAAACTCCATTTCTGTTTGATCATTTCCATATAATGCAGGTCCACGAGCACCGCAGAGTTTATCTCCCAGAAACATCTCATTTCTGTTTAAGACACATCTGAACCACATGTGGACCACTTCACTCTACCCCTGGACAAATAAAATCCAGCAGTGCTGTATTAGTGTCTAATCACTGTATGCTGGAGAGAAGGTTTTCAAAAATTAAATTGAAAAGTTTTGTAATTTTAGTTTTAAAAAATGTATGTTTGCCTGCATGTTTCTCATAAAATTTGTGAACATAGAGAACATTTTTACAAATTTTTCTGTTGAAAGTTTTATGTCAAAATGTCAGTTTTTCATGTCATTTTTGGTCAAAAACTAAGAAACTTTGATGAAAATTATTTGTAAAAGAATTTTTTAAAATTGTATCTTTACCTGCATGTTTCTCATAAAATTAATGCACGTAGAGAACATTTTTATAAATTTTTTTGTATAAAGTTTTATGTCAAAATGTTAGTTTTCCATGTCACTTTTGATCAAAAACTAAGAATCTTTGATGAAAATTATTTGTAAAAGAATTTTTTAAAATTGTATCTTTACCTGCATGTTTCTCATAAAATTTGTGAACATAGAGAACATTAATTGAGTAATCAACTCAGTCAAATGCGTTTCTTGTCACTGTGTAAATCAAAGCTCTATCATTCACTTCTCTGCGTTTGGTCTCCACCAGCTCCCGGAGAAATATAGATCTCTTTAGTCAGTAGCCGCTCTTTATTTAATGGTTCAGAATGCTTTGTTAGAGATTATTACAGTTGCTGATGACAGCTACAAAAATGCAAAAACAAACATTACAACAAAAAAAAAAACATATTCCTAGCAGGAAAAAGCCAAAAACCAGAATGAAGATCATCAGAAAGAAGCAGTAAATGCCCCACATCAGGAACCACTTTATTCTAGGCAATAATGACGCTGTTGACAAACGGAACCTAGTGCAGAAATGCTGAGCGCCACAGAAATTCTGCCTCACTGGGAGGGATCCCAGGACTCACCAAACGAAGAGTCAGCAAGGTGCACTGTCAGTCACATGACAGTATATAGCTGAGGAGCTGTGCTGCTGAAATGAGATGTGAACTCTGATGCACCTCTGCAGAGGCTAAAGGTAAAGGCAAGCAATAATAAACAGTCGCATCTGCAAAAACGGAATAAAAGACAATATTTGCTCAGTGATTTACTGATGTCAGCAGCTCCAGGTCGGGTGAGATCCACAGCAGAGAACAGCTTCATCTAATAATACGGCATAATCATTTTTAGTATTTCCTTTTGTTTCTGCAGAGCAAATGTTTTTACTAAACCTTGCTGAAAAAAAAAAGATTTCAATCATGATCAGGAATGTTGATCTATCTCGATTAATCTTGATTAATCCATAGCTACTGTGTGAATAATCATTTTACAAGTCCTGACTTAGGATCTTCCCCATGACTTTAACCACTGACACCAGAGTTTCCGAGGCCTTGTATCCATTAACCCCTTAGCTGCCAGCTCAGTTATAGAAACTTAATAATTCTGCTCAGATCTCTTAGGTTTGAGGTAACCCTCAGTGTGTGTGCACAGACACTAGTACCAGTTGTTCCGTACCCCGCGCTGGCCCACACTCACTTAACCCCAAAGGCAAGTGAAGCCGAAGCCCGATCGCCTCCGACACAAACGTCAATGACTGTTGTTTATACGTGGGTTAAAGCAGTGGAATCAAGAATGTAGAAACACGGCTGCAGTGACTGTTTTCTTCTTTGTTAACCTTCTACAACAGCGTCAGCCCTCACCGGTGTCGGGATTTATTGACTGTGTGAGGCGGTCAATCGTGCTGCACACATGCCAAGATTTTTGCGGAGGCAATAGAGACGTACTTCAGCGCGCTTGTGGCCACGCCGTAGCAGGGAAGACCACTCTCATTCACACAAGCCATAGAATCAGGGCGTTATGGAGCAAACCTGCTGGGACCCCATCCCTAACCATGACCCTATCCCTGAACCTTATAGCTAGAAGACCTATAAAGAAAGAGGACCAAGTTCAACAGCAGCTGCAGTTTTTAGTCGAGAGAGGCGGAGGTGGCGGAGAGTCCGATCCATCTGGTTCCAGATCTCCCACTCCCTCAGCCACTTCAGTCTGTTTGCTGGTATTGGAGTGTGAAAAATTGAATAAATATATTAAATTAAAATAAATGAGTGTGGGCAGCAGGAACACACAGAATTTTAAAAATTGAAGGTGCTAAAGAGCAGTGGAGAGGGTTTTCTTTTTATGTTTTCGTCTGTATTTACAGCAGGTTGGAAAAACAGCCACATCACCCAAACCACTTTGATGCTTCAGGGACCACTTCACGGCTCACAAACAAACTTCCAGCGCGGTGTCAAATGAGGCACTAGTCAGTACCCAGTCTGTCTCTGCGTTCCTCCCCCAGATATAAGTGGTGTAAAAACAGAGCTCCATTCCCCCGGTTTTTGCCACCAAGCTCAGCTCCCGCAGATCTCCCCCGTGACTCTCTCCTCGTGTCTGCGGTGTTGGCCTGGTCCACGGCTCTGTGATCAAGACACAGTGGCTCAGTGGAAGCTGTCCACTCTCAACCTTAATTATCTGCACGCTGAGCTCACAAACTGTGGCAGGCAAGAAGCTGTGAAGCTAACTTAGTTTTCCCTGCTGCTCCCCCTCTGTCCTGTTATTTCTCCACATTCTCCCATTTCACTGTTACACTCGCTACAACACTCAAAGCTGAACTCTGTTGCTCAGCTTCAGTTACACTTCACCAATACGACTGCTGGGTGTTTCAGATCCGATTCATTTGAGTAAAATAAATCATCAATAGTTTTTGTAATTGATGAATCTATGTATTATTTTTACAGAACCAGCAGAAACAAAATGCTCAAAAAGGATAAAAAAAATAAAATAATATGGAAATATCTATGTAGAAATAAAAAAGAACAACATATATAACATCCAAGAATATATTGAAAAAAAATCCCATTTTTAATTTTTTCTAAACTTAATCCTCATTGTTTTGAAATGTATTTAAGGAATTGCTTTTAGGACTAAATTACATACTGTATGATAAAAAAAATACACATTAAAATAACTTTTAATGTTAACTTTTTCCTCTTTATTTGTGTATATATAGTATATATAATACCTGTCCCTGTTCATGCTGCTAAATCCAGTCTACCTCTTACTTTATTCAGCTGTATCTAGTACCTGTCCCTGTTCATGCTGCTGTCTACCTCTTACTTTATTCAGCTGTATATTTATATTCATCCTTGTACTGTACATATATCATACTCTGTGCCCTTATTCCTCCATCTTCAATTTTTCATTTTATTTTGTCTATTTTTGCACAGTGTAGAAACAAAGCGAAGAAATCGTCCGTATGCCTTGTTCGTACTCCAGAAATTAACACCAGAGTTGAACCTTGGCTTGACTTTAATCTAATCCTATGTTCC